AACTATGTGACAAGAGCCGTTACAAATTCATCCAAACTAGTCGTTAACTTTCCCACAGAAATGAATCTTGTATTGTGAGTGAAATTGATGATATTCTGTTCAGAATACAACATGTCATTTGATGGATGAAAACCTTGACCTTCTACTGGTTATAGGTAATATATATAATGAAATGTAAGAGAGAACTATCAACAAATTGTGAAAGAGAGGATGTGACAGGATGGGGCTGATTTTCTATTTGATAGCTGTGTAACCAAAAAACATTAAAGGCTACAAAAATTATGCTTTGTTCGAGCAATAATGATTTTATACAGAGTATTTTACGTTTAATTTCATACTTTTTCAAGGGGTGGTGGATAAAATAGGGATAATGACATGCTAAGAGAAAACGTGTCACACTAGTGGAAATTCTGGATTTTTTTTAAATATTGCATTGTTGAATTAAGAATTTAAATCTTGTATACTATTAAAATATTGATTATTAGCTAAGATATTATGCTATTCTAATTGGTATAACATAAACAAAAATTAATTTAATGAAATTTTGAATGTAAAACACTAAAACCTTGTGTCATGAGCACAAAAGGGTATCTGGGGCGATAGGGTTAAAAGATCTAAATTCTTTGCTTTAGAGACGATGTAATTCTTAAAACCATTCACAAGTTTCAAGTTTGACAATAACTTAAAAATATGTATGGCAATTCAGAAGCCATTTAAGAAACATCTGTACTTAGGCCTAAATTTTGTGATAAAAATCATGTAAACTTCAGATGCTTTTTTCCAAATTTATTTTAATTTGTTCATTTCAGCCCATTAGTTTCTAACGTTTCTCTGGCTTTTGGCATTCAAACCATAACTTTTATACAAATAAACTTTCAGAGAATCTTTTGTCTCTCATCATCCAGCCCAACTAAGGAGTTTTAACATTGTAAAAAAGGTCTCTTTGCCCAGTGACTCGTGACAGACAAAAGACAGTTCTGAAATTTTATTTTTAAATGTCTCTGATTCTGAATTTAGAATGGTCAAATTAAAAAGAATGTGAAAAAGAGGCACTTGCAGTTTAGATGATTTTTATCAAAATTTAGGCTAACTGGTTTCTAATGCTTCATCAGTTTTTGTGATTTAAATTGCAAATCTTTACTTAATTGATTAAATCAATTTACTCAATAAAAACATGGAGTAAAAATCAAAAAGAAAAACTTAAGTTTTTCAATTCTAAAATTTTACCTTCAGATTCTATAAATTTCTGTCCCCAATTCAGGGCATCTACGTCCACATTCTTCATGATAAGTTCTAATAATGAATCTCGTCCTATTGCCGACATCACATGACTGGCACAGCTTTTCACAAGGGCTACCATAACACTGTCAATCCTGGACTGGTTACCTGAATTAAATCATTTCAAGAAGTCCAATTTACTACATCTGTCTAAAAGTTTAGACTCTACTGATTATTATTATTATTATTTAGATTTCAGTGACAGAAAACAGTAGAGAAAAAAAACTGTATCAAAGAAACATCTCTACTATACGAATGACTTTGCATTTACCACTTCTTTTGTAGTTAACAGTAAAGTAGAATACTTGCATCAACTGATTGTGTGTGCCTACATAAAATATGGCAAGTTTTTAGTAAAATGTACAATTCTATTGTACACAAAAAAGTATTTGTACTCAAGATATGTCTATTAATTGACAATGTCAGTCTTATTCAGACTCTGACAAGTCAGAATGCAAGGAGATGTCCATGTGAAGAATAAAAATACTTCTGTCCATCTAACAGTTTGGGTATTTGTATTGCATAGTCTCTAGAACCTCTAAAATTCACATCTACAGTTTCTTCACTATCCCTGTATAATGTATGTGGTATCAATAAATTAGCAACACTAAATATTTAAAATTATGTTGAATGATACTGTAGTACTCTATAAAAGGTCATGAAATATACATAGTGTTAATGATAAGGTCACATACTCTTAATTATATAAATAAATGTATAACAAATGTTTGTTATCATCTTTGATGGCATTGCAGGGAATCTTACTCTTGGCTCTTTCTGGGATGTCTCCCATGCTCAATTTGCCAGTGGTGCCTTGGGTACTACAGCAGCATACAAGCTACATAACCTTATCATCAGGCTTTATGTACGCATGAGCTGGATTCTTTACAGTAGGTGTCTGTTGAATTGTTGGCGATAATTTTCAACAATACACAGCACACTTATTTTAAAACAATTCACAACAACTGAACTATACAACATATGATTTGTAAACAGTTACATATGCAACCTTGTGATAAACTACCACTTCTAAAATAACTAAACTTAACACTTGAGCTATACTTAAACCATCTAAATCATAACACTCACACTAAACTTAAAAAGTCGTGTTCATCTACCACCTCTAAGCTTTACGCATACTCAAACCCCTAGAACATGTATCTAGAGAACTTCTGAATCCCTCTTGTTTCCTTAGATTTTCATTTCATAAGCTACCTGTGTTCATTTTGTTCTATGTTGCCCCTGGTGGACAGTGGCAAAACAATCTGGTTTTAGTGTAAAAAGAGCCCAGTTCCAGTAGGAAGAAATGAAGGGGGGGACAAGGCTACTCAGTCCTACAGTCAACATGACTCGGGTGAGATTCTGCTAATCTTACCTTTGACCATTAGCCCTTGCAAATCTTATATCATCATCTTTCCTTAGACACTTTCTTCCATCATATGCCCTTTCACTGTCTGATCACAGCACTTCTGTCATCTTCCCGAGTTGTTTATGGTAGAATTTGTGGGTGTCAACTATTGTCAATCTCAGTCACTCTACATACTGTTGAAGACTTTGGGGAACTTCTCCTTGTAGTGAAGAATCATACCTCATGTTCACAGAGGGTAAAACCTCCCATCCAAACACGAGTAGGTTTGGCAAATATCCTGTTGATCCCCCCTCTTTACTTTATATAGATTCATTTCTTATAATAAGTGTACATCCTAGTCAATTCTGTCTAGATTAGCAAATATTTTAGTCATTTGTATTGCACATTCTGCCAATAAATCAGACTAATAATAGTGGTAAGCTGAAGTATGAGTTTTCATTACACTTTACACAATTCAGTGAACAGCTGGTTGTGAAAGTTAGTTCCCTGGTCTGTTAATTTCTTTCAGTGCTCTGATTCATGCTAACCAGTTGTTGGTTAATACAATGTGACAGTCTGTGTTATCATATAAACAAATGGATTAGCTTCAGCCCACTTCTTAAAGTAATCAATGGTGAGAAGTACGTAGCAATGACCTCCTCACATGGTTTCTAGGAGAATAACAGCAATATACTGGGATATCTTCTGTAAAGGAGACCTAACAATTACTTGTTGGAGTTTACTGTGTCTTGACCTGTCTTTTCTGAGTGGCACACACACACCATGTAGTGCTGATATCAGCACTTAACATCTTGACTCACTTGCAGCCAGATTAACAGCTGTTCAATATTGGCACAAGTGCAAGTTAAACCTTGTTGCTCACCAAGTCTTTGTGTTGTGCAAAGTCCAAAGTATTTTTTGGCACAGAGCTCTAGAGACCACTAGTTACAACACCATGCCTCATCGTTTGATAGCAATGATATAGCACAACTTGATGCACTTGTAAATGTTCATACAGATGCCATAGGTTATGTACATCTGTGCTATGCTCCTCTACTAATAATGCTGGTTAGGCCTGACCTAGGTCAGGTTCCTTCAGCTACTCATCCTGGAGCTCCTGAATCATCAACTTCAGCATCCATCTGCCATTCATTTACCTGATGGCTTACATTCACTATGGCTGAAATAGCATTGATTTCAACTCCCACACAATGTCCAGGGTCAAGACATTCTATGAACAAACAAGGTCTTACTATACATCTGTATTTGTATATGGGGCTCACGTGATGAACTACTGCTAATTCATATTGTTGCAACTTTGCTACTTAATATGCTTTCATCCTCTATGGATTTTTGAAGTTTACTAAAAACTTCAGCAAAGCATGGTTCATCCGGATGATTAACTTCAAATAACTACAAGCACTGAAAGCAGTTATTTCTATCATACAGTATTTGCATTCAAGAACCAATAACGTATGGCTAGCATACACAATTACATATTATACTGCATCCTAAAACTGGAATTTATATAAACCATCTCTTATGCTAAAAACAGTCTTAGCCCTGCTTTCTTTGTTCAACTTGAGTTGCCTGTATACAGATTCCACATCCAGTTTGTTAAGACAACAGAAGCATCCAAATGTGTCCATGATATTCATCTGTCTATGGTAAAGAAAACGGTTTTCTGCTTTTACATGTCTAAAATCAACACAGAACCTTTGCATACCTTCCTTCTTTCTGACAGTCACTACTGGATATAAATAAGCACTCTACAAAGGTTATATGATTCTGTACTGCAGCATCCATTTTATTTCAGCATCACAGCCTCCTTAATGTCTAAAGAAAGTCAGTGTGCTTCATTAGATATGCATTGCCTGTGTCTATATGGTTTTGAAGTCACCATTATTCAACCCAATCAGCCATCCGATCTCACAAATACAATGAGATATTCACCCAACAAGTCACTGAGATGCTTATCTTGAATTAGGTCTAGATAGTTAGTGCAATGATCAACTAACAATTTCAATGTGTCCATATCCTTACATTTGGCTAAGGTGTGATGGACACAATCCTGAAAATTACTGCTAGAATCACTTACTGTGCCTACAAAAATTCTAATGTCCACCTGGATGGGTTGTCAGCCATAGTTACAAAGCAACTGAGAATTCATCAAGTGTCAGGCAGGTCACTGCCTGAGCTAATTCTGTTTGCTTTTTGGAAAGGAAATTATTTATTTCATGTGTGACTTCTAGAATTGTGTTACATGGCACTGAGTTATCACTCTTTGTCTGGACTGTATCGAACACCACTTGTGTCCATAGAGGTTCCAGTGTTCCTGGGCACTAGCTGGACAGTATTAGATTACTTTCCCGTGGAGCACTGACTCAGCTGTTCACAGGCAAAACCAATGAACAAACATTGCAGTACGTCCATTCTGAGGATGCCATTTTCAGATCCTAGATTAGAAATGACTACTTTTGTACTGTGATTGATATGGGTGATACCTCTTAGAATGAACCAAAAACCAGTTCTCCTCTAATGTTTAGTCTGTTGCCTCTTGCCATAACAAAGTTGGTATTCAGTGGCCATAGTGGTGATCTCACTTGGAGGGCTTGAAAGATTGCAAGTTCAACTAGGGTTTTACCCACTCCTGAGTCTATAATAAAATTAACCTTTCAAAGTTATACCCTTATCAGCACAAACAAAGCTCCATTACGTCCTGTCATAGCTGGGTTTACTGATAAAATCTTTCATGCAAGCTGTCTGATGTACTCCTTCAGGCCAAGTTCAAATTGGGTTTCATCAGTTTTTCTGTAGCATTTGCCACAGCATCTACAGCTTTTTGGTGGTCATCCTGGACCTGCCATTGTTAGCTTTCCTTATTTTGCAGCTCAGCAAAGTGTTGATATTATGTAATAGTTGGCATCTGTTGAGTCCTCAGCTGAACCTGATAACTTTGCTATAAGGCAAAGTACACACAATTCCTTCTCCAGTGCCCTTTTAGTCCATATGCAATGCTGAAACTTTGCTTTTCCTTTCCTGGACAATGTTCAGGAGAATGCACTGGCCATGGTTGCAGTATGTATTGGATGGCAAAAAACTTTGTGATGTCACATATTTGCCAAGGATGAGTCTTCAGGATGCATACATATCGTGGATGGACTTTGCTGCAGCATCTAACCCATGGTCAGATTACATAAGCTTGCCCACCCACTGGTGTCATTTCTCTGTCTCATTTCTGTCTGGCAAAGGTGGCTATTTGTTATTCCTCTGTCTGGGTTTACCCAAATGTGGTGGAAGAACTAGGGCCACACTCTCTCCACTAGTGGAAGTACCAATACAGTTGCCACTGCAGATTTCTTCTTTCTGACAGCCAGCTTGAAGTGACTGCTTCAAAGCATGTTACAAAAGACTGCTTCCATGAAAGTGATGATATATCTCACACCTAGCTGCTGTTGCATAAGTTCATTGAGAAATTCCTTGATGCACTTATCAACCAGGCTGCTTTCCTGTCCTGAAAAGGTCACTGCCAGGGATGTTTTCTTGTGCAATTGAATAAATTTGTTTACATAGGCAACCCGTCCCTCTGTGCTGGTACTCTTCCAAGCTTTAAATTCAGCCTTATAGATTGTTTAATTCTCCACTAGGTTAAACAAGTGATGCAGCTCATACACAACAACTTCCTAGTCATCCTGCTGCTGCTCCTCATCCAGGTGATAACAACATCAACAGCTGGATTGTCTAAGCTCAGAACCAGCCATTGCTGCATCCTGTTCCTGCATCCATTCATTCAAAGCAGTGAACTGCTTGAAATGTTTAATGAACCAGTCCAGGTCATCTCCCTCTCTCTTGTAATCCTAACAAATTCAGGAGGAGATGTTATGGATGTTCTCAGTTTCAGATGGATGCTATAGATGTAGATATCAACATCCCAACAGACAATCACACGATTGTACAGTGTGATGAGGTACTGAAGGTGACTCATTGTACAGCCCTGCACAAGGTGTCATGAGCAGCTATTGATATCACAGGGAGACTTTCTTTTCTGTAGAGTACCTTGCAAAATGGGTCACAGTCTTCACCAATTGCCTCACCTGCTGAGGAGACAACTTTTTCTAGTAGAAATCATCAATCAGCAACACATCCAGCCACTGTACAATGGTTCTGACCAGAGCTGGGACTGCTGAGCTTTGACTGTCAACAGTCTTAGAGTTTGGTAAAGACTTCTACACAGTATCATACTTGCCAGGTGTCATTCTATTAACCCTTTAACAACCACCACACTTCTTAAATACCTTTTTGCTCATGTCATAAAAGGTTACAGAGTTACATTCAAAACTTAATTAAACCAATTTACTATCAATTATCATTATCAAGTAAATTATAGTTAAAAGTTTTATATTATCCAAGCTATTATTCCTTTATTTCAAAAAGAAACCTCTGAAACAACCAATTAAATCTTCTGTTTTGTTGTATTGTGATGCATGTGCAGTTGAAATATCTTAAATTTGGTTGCTATGTATCTGTCCAGCTTTGTCTCAGTACTTCTATGAGTCTAGACAAGCTTCTACAAGTACAAGGTTAAAGTCTAAACTTTGGTTTCATTTTTCAATGGATAACATTCTAAGAGTGAGATAATTTCTCCTCCTTTCTGATAGGCATCATGCCCACATTCCAAAGTAACTTGTTGCTGTATTACAGTTTTTTCTTGACTTGAGTGGCATGCTTATAACCAATAGAAATATTATATTTCTTGTTTAGTCTCTTCAGGCTAGAAAGAAATGTAGGTGATAAATTATGTTTCAAAAGACAAACTGTCACTAAATCCATTGTTGAGATCAGTGTCCCTAGAACTTGACTATCATTTCTTGCTTTATACACATTAGTTTGATATACAATTAAATTGCATTTAGATTTTACTATTATATTTTAGTTAGTTATGTATTATATGGTCTTAAAATTTACATTTCAAAAGGTTTAATGATTATTTAAGTTTTTCTATTCGTCTCCTCACTTGTGAACTTATAAAAATAGATGAATGCAAACATTATGCTAAAAGCTAAAGCGTCTCTGTCAATTATAAAGTTATACAGTCCACAGGCACCAGTTAACATTGACGTAAATAATAAAAGATAAGGAATTGGAAAATAAAATAAAACATTTAAAGATTATTAAACAAAGATATAAAAGGTAAGAACATATTTCCATTTCTTAATTTTAAACATTTCATTGCACTGTACATTGGTGATAATAACTAGAGTTAGTGATATGGTAGAAAAAATGGAAAATAAAATATTTTTACCTCAAAATAATTTTGATATTTATTGAAGAAGTTCTAAAGATTATGCAAATAAAATGTGAAAACTGTAAGATAATAAATAGAATTTTAATACTAAAAATGAAAATCATCTTGCAGGTGAACTATTCAGAGTCCGACTGCATATATTAAATAACTAATTTAGAGAAAATCAAAATCAAATGTTTTACTTTTCTGAAACTACATGGTTTTAGGAGGTTATTGTCAAATATCAAACAACTTCATGTTTTATTTTTGGAACAAAATATAGCGATAACAGCTTTAGGTCCTACAAATTGTAGAAAACTGTAGTCATGAGGTTGAGGTGAACCACAGTCACTCACACTTGTATCTTGCCAAGACCAATTCTCAGGAGCACCATTTGCTTGAGTTGTGGGCTGGGTGCTCCAGATGTGAGCAAGTATTTCTGACTGACTGATACCATAGACCTTCATAATAATGGCTCATATGTCCAGGAGAGGACTTCTCCTAGACTCAAAATCTCTCCTATACAACTGTCTCTCTCCGCCATTATACTCTCTCTCTCTCTCTTGGTCTTGAGTACTTTTGCATCTAGAAAATGCCATTATTTTTATAAAAAGTATTCCCTTAAACTCAATAAGCTCAAAGGAGAAGAAAGAGCTAGAATGCACATTATCATTTCAGAAACTCTGCAATAAAATAAACAAAATTTCTTCTTCCTATCTATTTGTGGTATTTTTAATTAAAAATGATTTCCCAAAAGGTATCAGATAAGCAGACCTGCTAATAATAGCAAATCCACTCAGACAATAATTCTGAATCTCGTAACTTAACTGAGTCTTTTTAGCATCAGTAAAATAATGAGACTAAACATAGCTGGGCAAAATGTAAATAATTTTTATTATTGGACAAATAAGAAGAAACACAACATAAAAACTTGCACAGACACAATCAAAATCACTTCTACTGGAATATGATTAGCTCCACAGTTTTCTTTCTCTGAAGAGAGACTTTCATAGAACTAAACACAATGACGTGAAAGCACAATCTCCATATATAACTGAATTAATAAAGTATGTCTGAATTCAACAAGTAAACTTGGTTGCTTTGTCCAGTCAACATTGTGACCTTTGTTCACTCAATGCAGTGGTTAGCTGTTACAATTAGGCAACATTAACTTAGCCAGCAAAGGATATTACAGTTAATCCCTTCAACCCGGATGCTACACATTATTGCAATATCCTCTCGAGCAAAACATACATTGTCTACTATAGAGAACAAAGAAACAAAGCAACTAGAACATGGTAATCTCAGTGACTATCTAGCCTGTGTGTTTATCCCAAAACTGCATATAAACTACACAAACAAAATATATATTATTTTAAATTCCTACATTAAAGTAGGTAGACAACATATGATACATATATATATATATATACACACACATGTAATTTATGTATGATAACAATAAAAGAACAAAAATTGTAAGATGTTTTCTAGGTTCTAGAAGCTGACCTTCCAAAATAGTATTTTCATTCAATAATGTACTACTCAGAAATACACAAACAAAGTGACATAGTTATGCTTACTACATTTAAGTACCAGGGTAGGTTGCTGTACAAAAAAAAGACATGCTGACCTGTTAAGATGTAAACAAGTATTTATTTACAGACACGATGTCATTATATATATGTGTGCATGTGTATGTATTTTTTCTTTGAATTACCATTATACAAGTAATCAACAAATGCCAAATTAAAAATGGTACTCCTAAGTTTTTCACTCCATTATTTCACAAAAACCCTATACGGCCATGCGCGCAAAGAAACTGAAGAGATATAGCAATCTACAAGCATAAATCTGGTAAAAATGTCCCCTAGATTCAACAAACAAAATTAAATGTTGAACATAAATCAAACACAAGATAAACCTGTGATTTAAAAAAAAAGAACATTTTAGCTTTATTTGTTCTCAACCTCATAACCCATACTTCTAAGCGAGTGAAGTGGAAAAAAAGAAGGAATATTTTACAGTCACTAAACAAAAAAACAAACATTTAAAAAGCACACTTAAATATATTTACTTACTTTTCATAACGTTTTTATCAGGTTTTTTGCCTTCTTTAATGTCCATTCCTGATAAGGAGTTAAGTATTAACTGTGTCAGATATTGTACGGCATTCAAGTACTCAGAAGAGTGCGTGTTAAAACATCTTACTAAATACTGAACGTCCAACTGATCCATAACCTCGGCTGTCTGAAATATTTACAATGGCTTATGAAATCCAAGAAAACACAGCAAAACAATTTCTTTTCTAAGACTATCAGTGAATACAGCATAAAGTTTTAGGAAATCTTTTTATGAAAACAAAACAGAAAATTAAAATAAAGAAATATTTATTTATTACAATATACCTTCCACATAATATAGTAACCAAGAAAACAAGATCAAATGACACAGATAATTAAGTAAATTTTATTAGCAAACAATAAAAATGTGTGTACATGTATCAAAGTTTTAATATACAACCTCCCAGTCCATTTTTAAGAAAGAATTGACAGAAAAAAGCAACTATAATAAGAAAATATAGATTTTCATAAAATTACCAGTGTTTACGCTTTTTACCTAATGTATTTGGCAAACAACCAATTTTCCAAACCGAACCACACATAAAACCACATTATTCAGACTCTAATGTATTTCTTATGTTTTTCCAAAGAATACTTACCAACTTAACAGGCTTTCTTTAAAGTGTTTGTATACTGATACAGTGAAGAGCTTTATCCTTTTTTCTAACATTGTTTCTAAATATATTTTAAAAACACAAAACTATTTATACATGTGGTTCATTTTGATAGAAGAAATATAGGCTCCATAAGTCTTTTTCACAAAAAATATTATCACTTTGAAAATATATGTTTTAAGAGGTTTTATAGGTTCACTATTACTGGCACAATGTTATGCAAATATTACTCAATAGTTTTATTTTCATATAAAATTAGGTGCTAATCTTTGAATAACAAAAATGAAAAATAAATTTATATATTTTTTTTATAGAAGTTTCAAGTGTACATGTAACATATTTCAAAGAAGAATGCATAGTTATATTGGAGATTTCAGTAAATCAATGATTTCTCTATTACAATTTTAATAAACAAATTTCTTCAAATAATGTATCAATAATATACTTGTTTCAATTAGCAAGTATTTAAATTATTTAACCATATCATTTTAGCATTGTAAATCTGTAGTTTATCACATACTTTAATCCATGAAAATAATTAAAAATCTCAAATTTCCAATATTTTTCAGTTTGATGATCAATGGCATATTTGTACTGATAATAAATCAATACATTTGAAATATACCTTGATATTAGAATGGTACATCTACAACAAATTGAAAAGTTTATTTTTTAACAATAATTAAATCTAAATACTATTCATTAATGGCTGAGTTTAAAAGAAATATTCTAGTAATATATTTTGTGAGTTGTTACATAAATGTAGTACAAGTATTTACCCACCAATCTTTTTACGTGGTTAAGAATACTTGCATTTACCAATAACTGTAATCTAACTATTTACCCATAATAATAATAATAAAAGTTATCAATTAAATTCATCATATAAAGTGTAGTACTATTAATGTTTTACGTAGAAATAAACAAAACCAAGAAACTATTCTCTTAAATTTAAGGTGTCATTCAATTTGTTTTATTTAGCAAAACTATTGAAATATAAGTCACAAATAAGAATTACATATAGCAGAACTTTATAGCTACTCCTTTAAACAGTTCTGACAATATGAAGTGTGTATCAATTAGTAAAAGGATAGATTAAATTGTCAAGAGACTCTATTTCAGTATGTTTAGGATAGTCACATCAACTAGAACTAGGCCATTAGTGGCATTTGATAGTTGATTAGTCAATGGGTACACCATGCCCCCTACAACCCATGTAAGCAAAAAAGAAAGAAAAACAGATATATTTTTACCATCTTAGATTTTACAACCACGGCATTATTCTAACATGGTATTAATTTTCCTATTCTCTTTTGCATTGTTTTGGTTAAGTAATTTTCAAATTATCCTTAATTTCATATGTCTGACCTCTTCTGAGGGCAATTATTTGCATATTTCTGAAAAACATATTCTTTGTCAAACAAAAAAAAAAAAAAAATTTAAAATTAAATATAAATTTCTCACAAGTTTTATGGCCATTTCCTTATTTGGAAGATGAATGGCTAATGTTTACTAAATACCACCATGCTGTTTGTTTTTCAAATATGCAGTAGCCACACACTGATCTTTAGCAAATCAAATAAATTGTTAATTGACTAATGAAAACATGATTTACTCTTTCAGAAAAGGCAATACTGTTACTATTTAAAATATTTTATGATCACAATTACAAATATTTAGTCTAATTTATTTATGTACATTGTTTGAACACAATAAGCATAAAAACGATACTCAATAAAAATTTGAATCATCAAAATATTTTGTATTCACTTGCCATACTCACTAGACAGTAGTGTATTTTTGTGACTAGTAATACTGGTGTTCATAATATATATATATATATATATAGAGAGAGAGAGAGAGAGAAATGTCAAAGTTTGCTAGATGGAATACTCATGTTAAACATTGCTAGAAATCCATACTTTGAGAAATTGTTACTCAAAACATAGGTGATCTAATATGTTGTTAGAGGGAGGGTTCAACTAGACCTTTACTAACTACTTATCTACTTTAATAATAAAATCAATTAGAAAGTCTACATCATTACGAGTAGCTCAGTTAGGCTATAATCCAACAATTTCAAACCTTATATCTTTGTTTCTGATAATGTGGTTGAAATAAAAAAAAACAGTTAAAATCAAACATGTCAAATTGAGTAATTTAAATTATATTGTTATAATTATATTAAGCATAGTATATACCTGAAGCCATAACCAGACTGTTGTTGTCTCCCCAGCTGTGTTAACTTTAGAAAAACTGAAAGTTTTTTATAGTAATTAGCAGACCAAGCAAATAAAAAGATTGATAATATTTCTTTTTGATACCATATGGCTGTTTTACTATTCATTTCTGAAAAAAAATGAAGAAAGTTTGGACCCCTAGATCTATGCCTACTTATAGAACATTAAATAATTAATTTATGAAAAAAATAGGTTGAAGGGGTGGGATTTTGGCCCTCTTGAGCCCTCCATTAAACCTGCACCTGCTTATGCAATGTTAATATAGTTATTAATTTCTGGAGAAAAAAAAAAGTGTGGGGTTTCACTCCTTGCAACCCTTCACTAGAATATCTAACTTATTATCTTTTTTTTTTTTACATTGTCCTAAGCATTTTGGAATCACTAGAAATCACACCAAAACTCAGTAGTGTCATCAAGTTTTACTGCAGTAACAGAATGAATAAAACAGTATGGGGAAGGATCATTTTCTCCAACTGGTGCAGTACCCAATTACGCAGTATCAGAAAGAAAATGCCCAGTCAAAACAATTTTCGGCATTTACATGAACAAAATACTAAAAATGCTGTTTCCAGGCAGTATTTTTTTATTTTATTACTCAATAAACAGTACACAATAAATTACTAAACTCAAGGTTAATGGAATGAATTTAAAGTAATAATGTGTCCCTAAACTGCAATATCAAATAAATATCCACAAGATCCTCAATATATATATTTTTTAAGAAAACCTACACCTTCTTACAAGCTCAACTGCCATTTGTATTTAATTATATAATTACACTCCTATGATAAAAAATAAATAAATTTCAACTTACATTGTGCTACGTTTCTCAAATTTTTATTTCAAGGACATTTCATTATTTTTAAAATGAAAGAAGATCGTTTGACACTGTAAAATAATGTAGTTCTTCCAAAAATGTGAATTAATCCATATTGCAGAAACATGTTTTTGAGTATAAAATACTCACCTTCAAGATTTCTTCAGATCACTACAAATATGATATAGTTATGAATAATGAGTTCAGTAGATTACTGTTAACACCTAAGTACTATAATCTGTATTGATTTCAGAACACAGAAAATATTTCCACAGTAGACAGGTTCAAGATGCTTGTAGAAAATCTCCAGTCAATGGCTTTTAATGAACACTGATGATAACCTTGACAAGCCACACCAACCTTGCAGATATAAAGTTATCACACTCTATCCAAGTTTACAATTAACTCCATCCATGATTTACCAGAGATAACTCGGGCATCCTACATGATTCAACAAATATTTGCCCAAGTTAATTCAGGCAAACCATTTTTCACCATATTTATAATTATTTGCCCAGATTCATTCACATGTATTACAATAGAATATCAAAAAGCAAAATAAAACACTGACTTTTTTTAGCTCATTTCCAAGAAAAAGCCTGACATGGAAGGGGTAAATATTAATTACCAATCAGAGCAAGCCACCTACTTAGAGTGAAACTAAAAATCAACTTGACAATGAATACAACTAATTGTTATACTTTCCTAACATTCTTACTTATAGAGATTAAATTGGATTGTTTCACCAATTACATAACCTCACTGCGTACAATAATTTCAACCATAAACAGAGAAAGTTACGTGTACAAATAAACAAAAATTTGTATTTGTGCTAGATTTTACTTTCAGTAAATGTTGGTTTTGTTTGGTAATGTAAATAGTAATCATATATAAGAACGTATAATTTAAAACACTTAAAAATATTTTATAAGTGGTAAAATAATTTACAGTACACAGAAATAATGATATGGAAATAACAGCAAATAATATATAATGCAATATTAAGGTGTAAAAATAATAGTTGTCTTACTCTGTCTACATTATTTCGGCAGATCTCCCCTAGTACTCTAATTACTGCTATGGACAACTCCAGGTTTTTTGTTATTTTCAATCCATTGACCAGCTTTTCGATGCCTTTTTCACATGCAATAATATGTGCTCCTGATTTTTCCCGAGCCAGAACAATAAGATTGTTAGTTGCCTAAAGAAAAAAACAAACATTTTAACATCCACAAGGAAGAGAGAATAATATAATACAATCTCCATATTTTGATGAAATACTAATGTAATTTTAAAATTCAGTTTAAAGTGAACAGCATCTCATAAAAAACACATAAAAAAATAAAAACTGAGAGACAATATATACAATGCATACACATGTAGCAAAATATGTCCTGATGGGAGAAGTATTTATAGAAATAAAACTCATTTAATGCACAAGTCCTACATGTAAAACAAACATAAAATTTAAAGATTTGTGTAGGTAATTACACACACAAAAGCCTGAAAATAGAAAGAAACACCTGATTAGGTACACATCACAGAATGCAATATGTTCAGCTTATCTGCTGAAATTGGTCAATAGAGGTCAAAAACCTGAATGAACATTAAACATAACTTAAATTATGCTATAAATAACTTAGAATAATTAATGCCAATAATATAACAGACATATAGCACCTAATGTCCACCCTGACAAATGCTTAGAATAAATGCAGAATAAAAGAAAGATCTTATATGGTTACTCAAGTCAAAAATGTGCTTTGTGAATGAAATAACCTATAATACTAAAGTTTTCTGGAAACTTTTAATTCTTCTAACTGCATCTAACCATATAATACAAAATATTACTAAAATTACTAAATTCAAATTTTTGCAAAACTTATGATATGATAAAACAATTTTAAAAATTTAGTAACTGAAGCAATGTAGTTATAGATCACTTATACATTATCAAAGTGGTTTATGCAGTGGGCAGAGGTAGGCTTTACAAACTGCTAGAGAACTTGACAAAATGCAAAACGTGGATTATGCACTGTAGAAACATTACATGGAGTCATTCATAGGTGTTTTTAATACAGAATTGAATTATACAAGGAGTATGGTAATAAATAAGAATAAGGTAAGAAGAAAATAATGGCAGCACAGAGACAAAAGATTTGATATTGATGTCAATACAATACGTGGCAATAATTTAGGTTTAAGCCTCAAAAACATTTTGGGCCTGAAAGACAAGCTGGGATGGTCAGAAACTTTACTTTTTCTTCACCCCACACAGTGAAAAGGTTTAAGCCAAACAGATGTGGAAGAAGCCTATGGACTTAATTTTGTTTAGACGCAATGAGTGTTTTGTTTTGAAGTACAGTACGATGTTGAAACATGACGGCCCAAAGTCGCTGAGAAGCCATGAAGAGACTGTTAACTGAATATGAGGTTAACTGTGATGAATAACCTGTAAAATGTTAATGGAAAATAAAGTGTATCTATTATTTTCATTTAAGTCAAGAAAATGTTTCAAATTTGACATTAAAATATTCTGGAAATGGATCAATTTTCATGGAACAGATAATGGTAACAAATAAATTCAAACTATGGAGAGAATGAGAGATAATACAGTTTCACCAGAGGTTTTAAAGAACACAGCTTTATCTGTTGTTTCTCATAAGCACGGTACAAGGGTGTTTTAACTCTTTCCACGTGGGGTTAGTGGATTATACCAACCTTGTAACCCTAAAGTAACTATCAGAGTTTGCATGCTACAACTTTTAATATGGCACATGTATCTTCCTGAAATTTGGCAAGCTATTAGTAAACATTACAAGTTTTGTAAAGAAAAAAACAAACATACTTTTATTTAAGTATTTTTAATAAAGATTGATCTATGAATATATGGAGTTAGAGTGTTGACTGACTTGGGAGCAAAGTGGTTTTGATTTTAAGATTAAAAATACTTTTCTTCAGCTGAAAATTTTAAAATTGTATTTGTGTAACCTTCTAAATAAATATAATTTTTTTTTGCAGTTAAGTTATATATTTTGTCTGTTATTTCCTCTATCCTAACTTTACAGATTCATGTGACATTATTCACAACATTATAATTCACTAACCATAAATATACTGTCCTTTATCTGTTTATTTGGCTTTTGTTTATCATGTGAAACAGTTGTTATATTGGAAAAAAAATTAATCAGACTAAAGAAAGTAATATGATCATAACCTAGTATATATTTTTAGAGAAAATTTGTCAAGGTAAAAACTGTGAACAATTTTTCAGACTTTCTCCAAACTCCTCAGTCCATCTGACAACTATACTGAAGTATACTTAGTTTTTAGATAGTAGATCAATTTGTGTTCTGAGTGTCAACATTTAGTGTTCAAAGAATAACTTTGGGCTTTAATATTTTCTTTAGCCAGTTTTGTTTGTGTTTATATTCCCTTCTTGGTTTGCCGTTTAACTACAAACTTGAACTGTTGAAAATTATTTTAAAAAGTTGTATAACAGTTCGTTTTTTAGTTGCTTAGTTTATTTTAAATCACTTTGTGTTAGATAGCAGGCTTCAAGGCACAGTCTTAACAATGGTCAGTTCAATGTGTAGTTTCTGTTTAAAGTTTAACTTTGAATATTGGTGTTTTTTGAAGACATTTTATTATTTTCATTCATTTACACTTCTCGGTTCACAGATTAACAGTGAACCTGGTCTGTTTAGAGACTTAATAAAAGTTTATATCTCTCTCTCCCTTTCTCTCTTCAGTTCTTCACAGCACACATGCCTATGTTTAATTGCTTAACTTGAATGTGATTTGTGTTTGTTTGATTAAATATTGTGGTTTGTTTATTTCTATGTAGTGTCTTGCTCTTTCTAATGAACTTAGAGACAAGGAGAAACAAACCCAACTCCATAATAAAGTATTTCTCGGATCTCCAGGTTTTGAGAGAAATCAATGTAATTGAAAATACCACTCTTCACAGTCATGAATCTAAAAGTAAAAAACTAAAATTTCTAAACATTTCTTCAAAACTATAACAATGCACTATGACACGTTGTAAATATGGAAGGTGTAACTGCAGTTTATCTTGTTCTGGTTAAAGTTTGGATAATATAAAATGGAGCTTTGATATTATTGTAATGAACTTCATTCTTGTACGGGCTCTTTTCGATTATTCAGTAAAAACAAATACTGTTGTCCACACCAAACATATATAACATAAATTATTCATTTCTTCTATCACATTATCCAGACTACTTTTGATTATATACTTAACTCATGAATAACACTAAACAGTCATTTACTCTAAAACTTACTATCTTGATGAAACACAAGATCACTATTCTTTATCACAATAATATATCTGGACTCAACATGGCTAGAAACTGTTTCACACAACAAACACCTTCTGATATCAAATAATTCTCCAACAATCTTAACATGGCTATACACAGGATGATTATAAAGAAAGTTTAACACTTCATGACGTTATATTTCAAAAACAGTAAGGAACAGGAAAGTGAAATTGCACAGGGGTGTTAACCTGATGACTACCAACTACTAACTTTCTTAGTAGGCAATGCAAGTGTGAGGGCAAAATCATTTGTGAATTGATAAAATGATAGAGAACTTATCTTTTAATGGATTTCTGATTTTATTTTTATAAATAGTAGCATAACATTCAATTATTTGTACAGAAGTATATTCTTTAATGAAGTTTAAAGAGGAATTTAATGAAAAAATTCCTAAAATACATTTTAGACTGTAAATAAGCACCCTCTAAGAAAGTTTTTTTAAAGATATTTCCTTTCACTTCAGCACTGGTCCTGCCATCTATGATTGGTATCTAAACCTTTTTCTAGTCGTTTTTTTTTATAAAACTGCGTCTGGGCATGTTAAACCTCAGTTGTAAAACTTTTAGCCAATCCTAGTCGAAAGTGTCAATTTCAGTACCAATTATTCCAATAGCTGTATCTCCCATTTGACAAATCATAGGATTATAAGGAAAGCACGTGATGAAACATTGTTCTCTGGATTTTACAATATGAATGTGGGTGTGCTTATTATAGTAACTGCCATTTTATGTAGAGGTTGTATTTAGTACTGGCCAACAGGGCTTTTCTATAAGCGTTAGAAAAGTTGTTTCTGGAAAAAACTGCATGGGATATACGTGACTTTTATTTTTTTTATATAATCACGTATACTTCTTATGGTTTCAAGTAATATACAGACCCGTAAATAATATTTGTAAATAAACCTAAACAATAAATGTGTATTTTTATTTTTAACTTTATGTTTCATTGCAGTCGTATTTTGTGTTTATTGTGCCGAATAAACTGTGGGGTCAGCAGCATGAACTTTGTACGTTGTCCATAAACTATCTCACCCTTTTTGGTGG